CCTGCCGCCGCCCCTGCCCGCCGAGGAAGGCCGCGAGGAAGCCCCCGCCCCGCCCGAGGGGCCCCCGGCGCCCGCCATGAACCACCACCATCACCCTCCGCCGCCCCCGCAGCAGCAGCCGCCGCCGCCGCCGCAGAAGCCGGGCGAGCAGCAGCTCAGCGAGCCGGAGGACATGGAGATGGAAGGTAGGCAAGAACCCCCCCTCTCGCCCCCCTTCCCCTTCTCCGGGGACCCCCCGAAATACACCCCCGAATCGTCCTTCCTTGCCCCGCGCGCCTCCACCTGCGCAGGTGAAGGAAGGGGGCGCCTCCCCTCCCCCCTTTTAGATCCCGCATCACTGGCGCTCCTCCGACCCCCCCCTTTTTTAAATATCCCCACTGCCCCCGCTAAGCGCCTGATCGCCCTAATCTGGAGCCGCTCCAGCATCGCCCGGCCTCCGCGCCTATGGGGGCTGCATCCTCCCCCCCCCCGGTTGGGGAGGTTTCCGATCGCCTGGCAGAAAAGGGACCCTCCCCCCTGTGTACCCCTGTGCTGGGTGGAGTTCGCCATTCTGCCCCCCCCTTTGCTCTCTCCCTCTCCCCCAGCCCCTCCGATGCAAGGGGACCCTGAGGTTGCTCCCGCGGCGCCTCTCTTTCCACCCCACCCCCGAAGCCCCTCCTGGGACACGTGCGGCCCGGTTGGCGTGGGGGAGTCGGGCGGCTGGGGAAGGGTCTCCGGGCCAGAGCAGCCCGTGTGTGCGCGGCATCTGGGAAGCCCTTCCCGAGCGCCCCCCTTCCGGGGGGAGGCGCCTGCCGTCTCGCGCGAGGCCGGAGTTTAAAAGTTTGGCAGCGTTGGGGGGCGGAGGCTTCCCCGCTTGGTGGGCGGCGGAGGGCCCGGAGGCGGCTTAAGCTGCAAAGGGGAATTGGGGGAGGGGTGGGGGCAAGTCTGCATCCCCTGCAGGAATGCCCGGCGCTCAGTGTCCGTCCCCCCTTCCCGGGAGGCTCCGGCTAGCCGCTCGGCGTTTGCTTGGGGAGGGGGGATTTGTTTTAAAAAGCCTCCTCCGGCCCCTTCTCATTGTAG